GCGTCCCCAGGACTGACCGGTGAACGGCGCGCTGATGATGACAAAGGCGGGCGCCAGGCGCGAGCGCAGCAGTCGCAGGTCGGTCGGCTGGTCCCGGCTGATGTAGCCCTGCACGGCCTGCGCCACAGGGTCGGGCAGCGGCGTCGCCGCCGACGGCTCGCACAGCTCCAGGTAGTCTGGACACGCACCGGGCGTGGGTCAGAGGACGACGCCCAGTGGTGCGGTGCGAGGCACGCCACGCTGGTCCGCCGAGCCTGCGCTCGAGGACCAACACTGATCAGCCCCGCCATGATGCGCGCGGGCTGGTCAGTGCTGTCAGTAGGATAGGGCGCATACCCAACGCGGTAGGCGCCGAGAGCGTCGGCGATCTTAGCGGTCTCCTTTGGTGGCCTGCCTGTCGGCCGACTGTGGTGGCCGATCAACTGAAGGGGCTAGGCCTGAGGCCGTGCTCATGTGGCGCAGAACAAAGCACAGCACATCACGGCCGTCAACTTCCGGGTGACAGCATACACGAAGAGGTGGACCCGGCCCTGCTTCCTGAGCTGGAATTGACCTTTGCGTGAACTGTTCCCAAGCTGGAGTCAATCTTTAATGAGCTACTTCTGAGGAGTGATCGACCTTTTCTGAGCCGCCCAGGTGCCGGTACCGTCCATTAAGTGAACGGAGCCGGCGCGCCGGTACTCACCTTTGATGAACTGTTCCTGGGCGGGAAGGGTCCACATGGTCGGCTGGTCCAGCACGCCCGTCCAGCCGGGCCAGCTGACTGCCTCCAAGCTGCCGGTGGCTGGCAGACCGGCTGGCGGTCCGGCTGCCAGACCGGCTGGCGGTCCGGCTGGCGGTCCGGACTGTGGTCCGGATGGCGGTCCGGACTGTGGTCCGGATGGCGGTCCGGATGGCGGTCCGGATGGCGGTCCGGCTGGTGGTCCGGCTTGCGGTCCAGCTGGCAGACCGGCTAGAGGACCGGCTGGCGGCACAGCTAACGGCACAGGCGGCGCCGTCTGAAGCTCCGGCGTGGCCAGTAACCGCGAACGCGACCGCTGCGGGCCGCCCGGCGTCAGCGAACCCTCCAGGCTCACTGGAACGGAAGCCGGCGTCAGTGTACCCTCCAGGCTTACTCGAACGGAGGCCGACGTCAGCGTACCCTCCAGGCTTACTGGAACAGAGGCCGGCGGCAGCGTACCCTCCAGGCTTACTGGTACAGAGGCCGACGTCAGCGTACCCTCCAGGCTTACTGGAACAGAGGCCGGCGGCAGCGTACCCTCCAGGCTTACTGGTACAGAGGCCGACGTCAGCGTACCCTCCAGGCTTACTGGAACGGAGGCCGGCGCCAGTGTACCCTCCAGGCTTACTGGAACAGAGGCCGGCGGCAGCGTACCCTCCAGGCTTACTGGAACAGAGGCCGACGTCAGCGTACCCTCCAGGCTTACTGGAACGGAGGCCGGCGGCAGCGTACCCTCCAGGCTCACTGGAACGGAGGCCGACGTCAGCGTACCCTCAAGGCTTACTGGAACGGAGGCCGGCGTCAGTGTACCTTCCAGGTTTACTGGAACGGAGGCCGACGTCAGCGTACCTTCAAGGCTTACTGGAACGGAGGCCGACGTCAGCGTACCCTCCAGGCTTACTGGGACGGAGGCCGGCGCCAGTGTACCCTCCGGGCTTACTGGAACGGAGGCCGGCGTGGGGCGCGGCTCGATCCAGAGCTAGGCTCACGGCCGTACGCAGTGCACAGACTGCGGGATCCAGACCCGTGGGCGCAGACTGCGTCCCAAGCACGTGTACACGCCTCTGAAACAGGCACACTAGCTGCGTGAGGACACCGATGCTGTTCACTGTCAAGTTCCGAGAACGCTAAGCCAGGAGGCGGGGTATCGCGGCAGCCACGCAGCGCAGCAGACACACGCTAAGCCCAGGAGGACTGCCAGCTTCGTACATAACACACGCACGTATGCTAGGCGATGCGGACAGGTACAACGATTGAGCGCACGTTGCAGTCACGACTCAACGACTTCTACACAACACCCACAGGTCGTATGTGTGCTGTGTGATCAACACGCGTGGGTTCCAGAAGCGCGGCAGGGAGGAAGGAAGGGAGGTCCTGGCCCCTTCAACCATACGGAGCGCTGCATGCGCGATATAACCTGACACGACACGTGGCATGCACATTTCCAGAGATTGTAGTCAATCAACAGTTACAAAATACACTGAAAATGCACCGATATTAAGACTGTAATGAGGCACGTAAGAGCCGAAGGGTTGCTGTCGCAGGCCTGTTGCGCTACATCGTCGGCTAGCATCCGCTGCGATGCAAGTGTGGTTCAGGCATCAGGTCTTCAAATCCTTTCAGGTCCTCTCAGGTCCTCCCAGGTCAGGTCCCAGTAACCTGAAGTCGCCACTCGCCAGCGGAGACGACGTGCCGACGACCACTCACGGTGAGAGCCCCTGACCGAGGCGGCGGCAGCGGCGGGCGCGAGGAGGGCGGCGGGTGCGGCGGCTCCGGCGGCTCCGGCGGCTCCGGCGGCTCCGGCGGCTCCGGCGGCTCCGGCTGGCTCCTCCGGCGGCCGGCCCGGCTGGCCAGTGCGGTGCACCAGCTCGGCGTAGAAGGAGCGCACCTCGGCCGCCAGCGGCTCGCCCGGCTGGCGCGGCGGCAGCACCAGCGTCTCGAACTCGCCGTAGCCCGGCAGCGTGCGCAGGATGTGTTCCTCCTCCAGGTACTGCCTGCGGAGCCGGGGACCGGGTGGTTGGCGGCCGGGGCACGCGGGACGCCGTCTCGGGTGGCAGTACTAACTTACGTACATAACTCTTTGGCTGGTTGATCCCCGGGGCGTAGTCAGGTGTTGTCTCGTCGCACGAGGGATTGGATGGTGTTTGGCTTTCAGTCTCGTAGGCGTCACGACCCCAATGTACTACTTGAATTGCTGAGATTCGAACCGAGGTCTTCTAATTCCGAGCTAATGGCTCCACAGCTGAGCTGATCGCGAAGGACAGCATGGGGAGGAGTCTTTCCCGATCAGCTAGCCACCGCGACCCCACGGACAAAGACGTCTATGCTGTCACTTATACGGCCAATTCACCGTTTTGCCCGCAGTCCACGTGACTGATCCTCACAAACAGCTGAGCGTCATAGCACGGGTGCGTGACCTGCGGCGGAGCCCGCCTGCCTGCCTACCTGCGTGACGGAAACCCGGGAGCCGCGGCCCCCGACACGACCGACCTGTCAAACTCCAGCGAGTACAGCTCGATCGGCACCGGGTGCGGGTTGAAGACGACCACCTCCGCCAGGCCGCCCTCCGTGTACGGGATGATGGGCTCGAACTGCAGCTCCAACGTCGAGAACTCCAGCTGCCGCACGCACACAGCTAGCGGTAGTGGCGTGGCCAGCGACAACGACGGCGGCGCCTGCACCGTCTACACGCCCATGACGCCGGAGAGCAACGTCAGAATGAACTCCCTTGGACCACGTTTTCCTCGCCTGGCCCGCATCTCCGCTGCGGACCCCAGTCGCCACGCCAAAAGAGAGCAACAGCGCTGGACCAGTAAAGCTCTGTGCCGGACTTTTTATGCGAGAAAGCGGACATGCAAGCTGTCACCCCAATATCTGGTATTCCGCCTGGCACTAAGCTGTTCGCCTGGAGCAGTTGACAGTTGAAAAAACATCACTGCATGGTTCCGTCTGGCTGTACAGAAACCCCCCAGAGCACCAAATTGAAATGCATGCACTCCAGACACCTCTTGGCTGGTGTTGCCGTTCCCCCCCCCCCCCCCCCCCCCCCCCCCACACACACCACACGCACCACGCTGTCCAACCCCTCGCCGGTCATGCGCTTTGGTCCACGTCTGCGCGGAGCCCTGCACGGACAGCTCGGCCTCCATGGTGTACGTCTTCTGCGAACCGGACAGGCACCAAATCAACACCCGCGCGCACCACGTGAGATTGTCACGAATTGCGCACGAAGTGAGAGCGAATGGAAGGACACGCCAGCTTATCGCTCCAATGACAAACGCCTATGGGTGAGGAACTACACTGCTCTGAACCTGGTAAAAGGAGCTGAAAAAACAGACATTGTTTTTACTTAGCCTGCCACCTACGGGTTTGTCAATCATGCGAAGAACGATACGAAGCCGCGCAGTCAGGAAACCACTACCATTCCTAACGCGCACACGCAACAAGTGTTATCGTAAGCAGCGCCCGGTGTCCTCGACAACTGCCTGTTACAGCAGACCAGCCTGGAGCGGCTCCCGATGGCCGGGCCGCTGCCTGCCCTCCCGCTGTCCCACGATCACGCACGCTCCTGACGGCCGGGCCGCTGCCTGCCCTCCCGCTGTCCCACGGTCACGTACGCTCCTGACGGCCGGGCCGCTCCCTGCCCGCTCGCTGTCCCACGGTCACGCACGCTCCTGACGGCCGGGCCGCTGCCTGCCCTCCCGCTGTCCCACGGTCACGTACGCTCCTGACGGCCGGGCCGCTGCCTGCCCGCTCGCTGTCCCACGGTCACGCACGCTCCTGACGGCCGGGCCGCTGCCTGCACGCCCGCTGTCCTACGGTCACGCACGCTCCTGACGGGCGCGAAGATGACGTCCACCAGGCTCCACTGGTCGGGCTCCAGGGTTCCCGAGGCCGGTCGGAAGGTGAAGGCCGGCGGCAGAGTAGCGGTAGCGGCGTGGCGGCGCGGTCTGTCACCGGAGCTGAACGGCAGCGCGGCCGGACGGTCCGGCGGCCGCGCCGTCAGGCTCCACTCGGCCGGCAGTATACCGCTGCCGGCGGGCAGGGGGCTCGTGTCATACAGAGCCGCCGTCAGGCTCCACTCGGCCGGCAGTATACCGCTGCCGGCGGGCAGGGGGCTCGTGTCATACAGAGCCGCCGTCAGGCTCCACTCGGCCGGCAGTATACCGCTGCCGACGGGCAGGGGGCTCGTGTCATACAGAGCCGCCGTCAGGCTCCACTCGGCCGGCAGTATACCGCTGCCGACGGGCAGGGGGGCTCGTGTCATACAGAGCCACCGTCAGGCTCCACTCGGCCGGCAGTATACCGCTGCCGACGGGCAGGGGGGCTCGTGTCATACAGAGTCACCGTCAGGCTCCACTCGGCCGGCAGTATACCGCTGCTGACGGGCAGGGGGGCTCGTGTCATACAGAGTCACCGTCAGGCTCCACTCGGCCAGCAGTATACCGCTGCCGACGGGCAGGGGACTCGTGTCACACAGAGCCACCGTCAGGCTCCACTCGGCCGGCAGTATATCGCTGCCGGCGGGCAGGGGGCTCGTGTCATACAGAGCCACCGTCAGGCTCCACTCGGCCGGCAGTATGCCGCTGCCGACGGGCAGGGGACTCGTGTCATACAGAGCCGCCGTCAGGCTCCACTCGGCCGGCAGTATATCGCTGCCGGCGGGCAGGGGGTTCGTGTCATACAGTCACCGTCAGGCTCCACTCGGCCGGCAGTATGCCGCTGCCGACGGGCAGGGGGCTCGTGTCATACAGAGTCACCGTCAGGCTCCACTCGGCCGGCAGTATGCCGCTGCCGGCGGGCAGGGGACTCGTGTCATACAGAGCCACCACTGCGAGCCCCTCAGGTGGCATGACTCCACTGTCGGCGGCGCGACGCTGGCACACAAAGACGCTCAGTATCTAGGCTTGCAACGAAGGTGTTTGGGATATACCCGACACGCCTGGGATTCAGAGCGTTGTCTGGGTCGCACACAGTTAGGACAAAGACGTCTGGGTTTCATCGCTGGACCGCTATCAGCCATGTGACTTGATAATTCACGCGGAGAAGTCCAGCCCATACAGTCCACGCATCAGCCAGTTCCGAATATCCCAATGCGATCTCGTTCGTCCTCAGATGACTTTAGCCTGTCAGGCTCGTCCATTGTACCATATCGTATACGTGTCTCTGACTGGTCTTCATCACGTGATGGCACGTCATCCCGGTGTCGTTCGGCCTCAATCATTTCCGTTTAAGCGCATTGTATCAGGCGAGTTGTCGGTTGCCGTGGAGATTTAAAGACACGAGGACCCGCTGAAGAACAATACCGGTGCTGGTGCTTGTGCTGATTGTGAGTGTGTGTGTGGTCGCTGCGGAGCGCCCGTCCCGACTCACTTGTTGTGCACCTTGATCTGGCAGATCTTGCACATGCCGATGTACACGGTGCCGAAGCTAAGCTCTTCCTTGTCCATCTCGGCGATGGGCGTGGTGACGGTCGCCTTCAGCACGATCGGGATGAAGAGACCGTTCCTGACCTGCGAGGGCCGGGGTCGGCTAGCTTCAGTCCCGAAGCCGGCCGGTCAAGTGAGACAGGCCCGCCGCGGCTAGCCGGCATCCGGATGTCAAACTCCACAGCTGTGCTGGAGAACCGCACTGGTTCGGAAGAGGCGTGGAGGTATATACCCGAACGCTGACGGACCGGCAGCGTGTGCTCCAATGCAGTCATCATAATGACGGGGCTTTGCGTCTCACCTCTTGCCACGGTCACCGTCACGCCCTCAGGCGAACGTCCTAACCACTGTGCCACCACCGCCTCCGCTTTAATGCGCTCGAAACGATACTTAGGTGTACCGAAAATGGTGTGAAAAGAAATAGGGCTGCTGCAGTGGGAAGGAATGTGCGGAATTGAGGGCGAAAGATATCTTGAAACATGAAAAACTTAAATGACGTAAATGCCTGGACTGAAGAACAATATGAGACAAAAATGGCAGCATTTGCGGAGGGAGAGGTATATTAGAATGCACGGAAGGACAACGGGTGACTGAGAAATAAGGATGAAGAAACTCATGAAAAAGAGTAGAGGAGAGCCTGTAGAAGTGTGTAAACACACGAACACAGCAGGAAAAAAAGAAAGAAAGCGACTGGTGGCGAAGCGAGGGAGAGGAGACGAGAGCGTAGCTCTGACCTCCAGATAGATCATCCTCTGCAGCTTCTCGACGGCCTGCTCCAGCGTGCTGGGACGCAGCCGCACGTGGATGTAGGTGGACTCGCCGGGCAGCAGCGAGCCCGACTCGTCGTCCAAGGTCACGTGCATGTCGTCGTCCCTGGCGGGCGGCGGCGGTCGTTCAAAGCACCGCCACTACTCGGAAGGACAGCGGCCCTCCCTCCCCACACCCGCGGCAGGTCAGCCGGCGAGGCGCCGCCGCCGCGCTGCTGTACGGATGTCATCACTCGCGCAGTCGACAGCCGCCCCGTATGGCCACACCGGCTTGAGATTACGACCCCCATCTTGTCATGCGGCGCACTGAGAGACGCCCCAGTTCAGGCTCACCACAAACTCTGCAAAGCGCAGCCAGCCGAGACTGCCGCCACCCGGACCGCCAGACCGGCGGCGGTGGCGCGGCGCGCCGGCGCGCCGCAGGCTCTCACGGGTCATCGGTGAGGATCGAGGTCACCAGGTTGACCACCACGGGCAGCAGCGAGATGTTGGTGACGGTGATGGCGCGGTGCAGGTCGCTGCCCAGCAGCACCAGGCCAAAGTCTGGCGACGAAACAGCGTCAGGCACCAGCTGAGACCTCATCACATGGAAATTGCTGTGCGGTGCCTCAAAATCGGCGCCATGATGTCGGGCTAACGCAGAAACATAATTTGCATTGGAGTCAGGAGGATATCCTGCATATATATAAAACGTGTATATATATATATATATATATATATATATATATATATCCTGCTTCGCTGAAAATCACGATGATTTTGCCACATTAGACACTCCAGCACTTGGTGCGAATGTTATTGTTACCACTGCCGGACACAAAATGCCAGGCATAATCTGAGATGGAGGCAGGCACGCTGAGCGAAGGCAATTCGCCTGCCGTCTGCTCAGGAGACAGCTGGAGACCGGGCAGCCCCGTCCAGCCCCGTCCAGCCCCGTCCAGCCCCGTCCGGCCCCGTCCAGCCCCGTCCAGCCCCGTCCAGCCCCGTCCAGCCCCGTCCAGCCCCGTCCAGCCCCGTCCAGCCCCGACCAGCCCCGACTGCCGGCGCTCACCGAGATAGTACTTGAGCAGGTCAAGGCTGACGGCGTTGCGGCGCGAGCTGTCGCCGCGCAGGAACGACGCCGTGGTCGGGTGGCTCCTGATGAAGTCGACCGTCACCAGCCGCTCCACCTCCAGGTCGATCAGCGCCGCGTCCACCAGCGCCGAGTCCTGCCACACCGGCGGAGAGGCCAGCAGTGACGGGCGGGCTCCGGGGCGAGCCGACCTCGAGGCCGCGCGACCATAATGGCCGCTCGGCAGCACGCAGGTGCGTAGGAACGCACCGAGAAGTGAATGGAACGACTCTGATATATAGTAGATTACTTCCATACATTGCCGCAAGGTTAAGCACGAAAATGAAAAAGATCGACCGGTTTAGTTTTGTTAACGAAACATGGGTGGTTCACGAACCGACATCTACCACACGCCGTGCGCAACAGCGCGCGTCGCGCGGCATGTACTGTCAAATCACCGATGATGACGTCAAGCCGTGCATGGACCAGCCCCCACGCCTCCCACGCCGCGCACCCCCATGACGCCAGATCCCAGACAGAGGCGCGCTGCAGCCGCCGCCCGCACCAGAACGAGTGGCTACAGGGGCGTGTCGGTCAGAGCCGTCTGCCCGGCGCGCACCGAGTGACTGACGACGCTCCAGGAGGGGCTGAGCGGCGGCGTGCCCAGCTCGGGCGCCTGCTCGTCCGAGGCCTCCTCCTCCTCCTCCCCTTCGCCCTCCAGGTCCAGCTCGTCTTCGCACTCAGCCGAGTCGGAGGCCTCCTCCAGCTGGAGCTGCACCTGGCCGCCGGGCGCGCTGGCTGACGCGGCGGCCGCCTGCCGGGTCCGGTCAGACGTGAGCGGCGTCCGGCGGCCACCGCTCTGCCGCGGGGAGCGGGCGGCACCGACGCTGAGCGCCGAGAGACACTGAGCGCCGAGCGGCGCCGAGCGCCGAGCGGCGCCGAGCGCCGAGCGACGCCGAGCGCCGAGCGACGCCGAGCGCCGAGCGACGCCGAGCGCCGAGCGACGCTGGGCGCTGAGCGACGCTGAGCGCTGAGCGACGCTGAGCGCTGGGCGCCGAGCGATGCTGGGCGCCGAGCGACGCTGAGCGCCGAGCGACGCTGAGCGCCGAGCGACGCTGAGCGCCGAGCGGTCTAGGCCAGAGAGGTCACACAGACTCGACTAGACCGGCGGGTGCAGCCACCATAAATGTACAAATACCTACATTGTACGTCCTGAATGCACTGCAGTAAGAATGCATGACGAAACTACCCTAAGTCACTAACGTAGACAGCGTCGAAACGTTCACCACCATCAACAGAAAGACGCAACGCGCTGAAGCCCCTGAAGGACGGCCTGCTGTTTAGCCCCAGCACACTCGTGGAACACAAGAAAGCCCGTGGCCGCCCCGTGCCGTCGGCGCCGCGACCCTCAGCGCTCCGCCATGACCGCCAGTGACGCGACGCCACCCACCGGCGCTGGCTGCGGTGCGGTGGCGGCCGGCTCGGCGGCCGGCGGCTCCTCCTGAGGCGCCGGCTCTCCGCTGGCGGGCCGCTCCGGGGAGCCGGCGGCCGGCACTGCCGCCTCCGACGAAGCCTCGACTGGCGGCCTGGCCGCGAGGACACACACAGACACAGTCGCTTGCTGGACCAGGACTGGCACTGTTGCTGAAACCCTAGCACTCAGCCTGGTGACGCACGCTCGCACACACGGACGTACGGACGCACGCAAGGGTGTACGGACGCACGCTTGCATGCGCGCAAACTTATAAGCTGACTGCTATGTCGACCCGGAACACACAACGTTGAAACGGGCACAAGCCGGGCGTTCTGCATATCTGTCGTGACAGCGCACGATGCGCCCGACTGTTTGACGCCGTAACCCCCAGGGCACGTAGCCGCTTCAGTGACCGTGAACCAGCGACGGCGCCGAGCCCTACCGGTCGACAGGCTCTGCAGGCCCCGGTTTCATCTCCGGCCCGTCGGTCGGCGGCGGCTCTGCGTTGGACGGCTCCGTGGTCACCAACGTCTCCATCGTGGTTACCAGCTGCTCCGAGGCGCTCGACGACGGCAAACTCTGCAACAGATGTCGCCTCCAGCACGATGTACCCACCGATTTGCTGGCAGCCTAGACAAGTCAAATGGGATGCTTGTACAGCTCAATTACCTAGTCTATCTGTTTTTCATATTTGTTCGGAGCGAGCAGCCCTTCACAGTGACCATTAGCTAGAGATCGGCTCAGCGTGCTGCTGTCGGAGCCCGGCGGCCGGCCGTGGCGCGACCGCCCCGAGCCGGTGGGGTTCTGGTTGTGCCGACCGGCCGCACCGCTGGCCGGGGCCGCCGCACCACCCACCGGTAGCCCGCTGGGCCGCTCCAGCTCGAGCGCCGCCGGTCGGCCGGGCCCGCCGCGCGCCACCCACCGGCAGCCCGCTGCGCCGCTCCGGCTCGAGCGCCGCCGGTCGGCCGGGCCCGCCGCGCGCCACCCACCGGTAGTCCGCTGCGCCGCTCCGGCTCGAGCGCCGCCGGTCGGCCGGGCCCGCCGCGCGCCACCCACCGGTAGTCCGCTGCGCCGCTCCGGCTCGAGCGCCGCCGGTCGGCCGGGCCCGCCGCGCGCCACCCACCGGCAGCCCGCTGCGCCGGTTCGACTCGAGCGTCGCCGGTCGGCCGGGCCCGCCGCGCGCCACCCACCGCCAGCCCGCTGCGCCGGTTCGACTCGAGCGCCGCCGAGATGTTCTGCACGGCCTGCAGGAAGATGTACTCGGAGATGTCCTCGTACTGCAGCGGCAGGTCCAGCATGACGGCCGGGTAAGCGCCGTAGCCGGTCACCGTGATCACCTCCGGCGGAAAGTGCGCCACCTGCCGCCGCCGCCCCACACCGGGTGATGTCGGAGCGCGCCGCAGCTAGAGGCCACTGCTGCGGTCGTTGCGCAGGCGCCATGGTACAGGCGTGCAATTGAGTGACATCGCTTTTCGGTGTTTCCTGAGCTGTTTCCTGAACACCGGTTTGGAATTTACACAAAAGAACAATGGAAGTCCAAAAATGCAGTGATTTTGAGAACAGTTCGAAGTGTTGACAGTAAAATCTGAAATTTGAAATCATGGGCTACCAGTACCATCAAGCTAATGAGTTATCTCATGTTGTTTTACTGGCCTGAAAGTATGGCAGATTTGTGTCTGATGAGACGGTAAAAAAATGGTGCGCAGTAGCTCCGATCACGAAATGCTTGCGGAACCGTTAAAAACTAGCGATGTTACCATGCTGGTATGGCAAACGATAATTGCTTTAATTACTGCTGGAGCGGCTCATGCAACTTTGAAATGTTACAAGCCTATACAATTGGACAAACTACGTTGGATCCCATATGTTAGAAGCCCCACACAGCTTTCAGGCGATTCTGCAATGGTTCAACCACATCGCAAAGGAGCCGAAAAAAGAGCTTCTACAGCTGTTGGTATGTCATCAGCCCGCCCATGCGCCCATGTCAGCACCCAATAAACATCGCAGGCAGCATCACCAAGGCCATCAGCGGCCTACTCCGGAGACCGATGGCTGATTGGCATCTTAAAGCGTGGACCTCTCCAAATGCAAAGCCCCGCCGGCGGCGCGCCAGCAGCCCACCCACGCCCGCCGCCGTGGCCGGCCGGCTGACCTCCAGCTCGATGTGGCGCTGGAAGTGTTCGGGGATCATGGGCAGGAAGTGTATGGTGATGCGCTGGGAGTGGCCGGCCGGCAGCACGCCCTCGGTGGGCGACACCTGCAGCCGGCCGTGCTCCGGCTCGTACCGCAGGCGCCACGCGAACTCCACCTGGCCGCTGTTGTGCAGCGCGGTGGACGTCTCCAGGAACTGGCAGTACATCTGCCGCACACGGGACAGCGCTGTCTGCACGGCACCTCCTCCCCCTCCTCCTCTCTGACGTCACCACGTGCATCCGTCGCCCACTGTCACAGCTCATTACACCGCGTGTCCCCCTCCATTACCCAAACTTCTGCAGGGGCTGGCAGTACACCTGCCCGATACGGGGGACAGTTGTCTACACGACAAGGATAATACAAAAAACATTTCGAACTGAAACTTCATCAGCGGAAACCCCGCAGGGACGCCTCCAAGCTCTGGGGACTGGCGGTACGTCCACCGGGCGAGGGACGGGACGCCACTGGACGGCGCCTCCCCAGCTCTGGTGGATCCAGAGACTGGCAACCGACGGAGGTCTCGGTCCCGCACTGGAAGCGTCATTTTCCTAATTCAGAATTGTTCGATGGCGGTTCCGACGAAAATGCTACGTTCAATATTCGCTTCGCTTTATTGTTGAGGACATGATGAGCGCACGCCGTACATTGTGCGTGAAGGTATCACTGGTGGACACTTAGGTTTCATGACATCTTGCTGAATTTGCTCCAAGTCCAACACGACACTGTCTGCTAACTAACCGGAAGCCCATCAGACACATGGCAAGATATCGGCCGCCAATGCAAATTTGATCATATTTGGACACGCCCGTCATGATTTAACCATCGGGTGTGGTCATAAATCACAGAGTACGGGTGCTTCTGCAGC